TGCCATTACTATCCTCATTTTACAATGAGGAAACTGAGCCTGGGAGAAGTTAAAGGAGGTATTTGCCCAGGGCCACACAGCGCTGGAAGTAGGTGTCTGAGGTAGAGTTCAGACCTGGGTCTTATTGGCTTCCAGTCCTTTGCTCTCTGTGGGAAAATGCTTAAAAAATATTAAAAAAATATACCGTTATCATCATGTTATTTGCTTCTATACTATATCTTCAGATCAGTTTTTCAGTTTAGTGAGATCAGTGTTTGTACACACTTTCTCTGGGTGTACAAAAATAAGCCTTGATTTTTAAAGTGGTTTATAATCGAATGATCAAATCTTGCTTGTCTTTTAAGAAGGGAATATACATTTTTTCCTCTTTAGGTGATTTGGGGTCTACCTAATGTGATTGGCTGGTCACTCCTTTTAGCCTGCTGCTACGTGCTTCTGAATAATTGGACCCTTGGAATAATCACATATATGCCAAGCAGGATTTTGCCATTAGCGGAGGGGTTTTCCTGTATGTGTTCGTAGCAGGATGCATTTCCTCTGGCATAAACAGACTGCAAGTTCTCGAAGCCCCAGAGGTACATCTGTTTGAATCTTTAGATGGATAGAACTTTGTTACAGAAAAATCGGCAAAACTGTGGCGATTTTTCTGATCCTTGATGTAAGTAGAGAAGGAAGTTAGATACGCAGACATTTCTCTCCAGGTGTTTTCAGTTTCTTTGTTGCCATTTAAACGAAGACAAGCCCCTGCCTTGCCCACATTTGTTCTCCTAAAATAGTTGTTCTTAACCTTTTTTTCTGTGTCCTGAATACCTCTGGCTGTCAGTGCACTGAATGAAGTATATGGGATTTATGAAGGAAACTGAGTATATTGTAATGTAGTTAGTTATCAAGGTATTTAAACAAACAAGCCGAGTTTATGGACCCCAGTGTGTAAGAAGTAAGGGCTCAGTGTCTAACTTGGTTTGGGCTGGGTAAGGAGGTGCAGATAACCCAGTAGCAGCTCTGCTGGGCACCAACCTTGTGACCTTGGATAAGTCAACTTCCCTCTTGTTGGCCTCTGAGGAGTGAGTTGGACAGTGCTAATCTCTAAGGTTCCAGGATCTGTGTACTTGGGCACTATCTTTCTTGGATCTCCTGAAATGCATGGACACTGCCAAGTGTCCCTGAATTGAAAAAGATCTGTCTTGAGACACTTGCTAAAAGAAATTGCTATTGGGAGAAGACCTTCAATCACATAAAAAGCAGTTTGTGTTAGTATATGAAGGTAGAGTCCTTTGTTATCTGGACACAGTGGCCCCTATTGTATCAAAAATGTTTAGTCCTTCTCAGTTTGTACACATAATTCCTAATCTCTAAGGAGACTAGTAGTAATAAACTTGTAGATTAAAAAATATTTATCTGACTGCAAAATAAGGACAGATTATCTGCTGATTTGAAATTGGTAATTCCTGGGTACTCAGGACTAATCTCTTTCTTGGCTTCCAGTATCACCTTAAATGATAAAACTTCTCTTGAAAAAGCAAACAGTTTTGTATGAGTTATCTTGACCACCATATTAATGACCTTTCATTAGTGGCCTTATTACAACTTGCTTATCTTTTTGTTTTTTTCTTTTTTCCTGGAGAAGAGCCAAAGCAAGATGGCCTTGATCCAAAGTAGTGTCATTCTCTTTGATATGGAAATTGGTGCCAGTAAATCTCTCCAGCTGGTGTTTAATGTACAAGATTCCTATAGAGAACAGTAAGTGGGGGTAGGCGACCCCAGTATGTACTTTGTGTACCATTCTTTAGATTGAATTAGGATTCTTAATTTTAATTAATTGGTAAAAATGAGGGTGACCTTTTTTCAGTCTCTTTTCTAAAAAGAAAATAGAAATTGAATAGAAAGACATAGAAAGAATGAGTTGGACAATTTCAAGTTTGGGGCAGTGCCTGGAAAATTGCAAATGGAGAGTGCTATTGTAATTACCCAGAACATTAGCTCATGTGGGTGAAATGGTTCTGTCACATCCCCAGATCTGCCAGCTTTCTGTATTCAGAATGTTTTGTTTCCTATTTGTAGTACTTTCTTTAAAAATTAGGGTTTAAGTTTGGGGAAACAGGTTTGCGTAGTTCATTGCATGACCCTGCTGGTTTAGGGGGAGTTTAACTGGACTCTTTTGGAAGTCTCCTGGTAATCAGTCCTTGCAGCTAAAAATTTCTGACTAGATGTTTTTAAAAAGGGGGAAGCTCCAATATGAACTGGCAGATGGGGACAGCTTCCTAGGAAAGGGAGTGGGGAATATTCCCATTCTCTGCATGCATGCCCCTATTGCTTTTCCAATTTGGGATAGTTCTCTTTGCCTTAAAAATTTTAAAAAGTACTCCTTTAATGCCCAGTTGCTCCAAAGGTGAGGTGGTCCCAAGCTTGCTGAAGGAATCGTTATGCTCCAGTCTGCCTGCCTTTCCTGTGTGGATACAATGCTGCTGACCCATTGTTGAGGTTTAGGGGTGCTGGGACCCTGAAATAGCAATGCAGGTCCTGTCTCAAAAGAATTCGACCCGTCTTTTTTCAGCCAAAGACAAGGTTTATTAGAACACTCATCAAGGTGAGTGTGATTTAATTGGGGAGTGGGGCTTCCCAGGGCCCATATTCACCCTCAGCATGGACCATTTCTCCTCCGGGATTTCCCCTGGTGCTCCCTTTCAGTGATTGTCATTCTCTGGTAGTTCTTTTGTGGCCCAAGCCACCTCATTGTGCCCCTAATTACGGACTACACTGAATCCTCGGGAGACCACAGGGTCCTTTGAACACTGAGATGTAGTGCTCATGGATACCTGGAAACTGGCCCATGTGTTTGCTGTGTTTGTCCTGGGAGAGGGCCTGTCATTTCTGACTTGTCATTGTGTCAGCCGACATTTGTACCTTGTGTGGTGGGAGAGGGCCTCTTTGGTCAGTGTAACCACTATGAAATAGCAAATTCAACAGAATGTCAGTGAAAGCTGACAAAAGCTAATAATGGTCATCCAGCACTCATCTGATTAGTGAAGGGACTGATGGCCAGAGAACCCCAGCTCTACTTAAAGTCTTTAAGACCACACCTCTTTGTTAGTTAGCTCTTTTGGGAAGGCTTTCTGTAGTTTAGAAACTGCATCTGTCTATATAGGTCATAGAATGTGGAAGTTGGAAAGGACCAAAGACATCACTCCTTCCGTGCTCCAGGAGCATGCCTGCCCCTCATGGGAGGCCCCTCAGCAGCTTGGAACCGATTCTTGCCCTGCACCACTTGCAGTTCGAGTGTGTGGATCTGTGCAAACTTTGGCCGGTCTATTTCACTCATTTAACTGTTCAGCACTGTTTTTTATTAGAAGTAATTTCTAGCCATATTTAAGCCTACAATTGACAATTTATCATCTTTTCATTGTTTTCAGTTGTGTCCAACTCTTTGTGACCCCATTTGGAGTTTTCTTGGCGGAGATACTGGAGTGGTTTGCCATTTCCTCCTCCAACTTGTTTTACAGATGAGGAAACTGAGACAAACAGGGTAAAGTGACTTGTCCAGGGTCACACAGCTAATAAGGGTATGAGGTCAGATTTGAACCCAGGAAGTTGAGCCTTCCTGACTCCAGGCTCAGAGCTCTATCCACTACAGCGCCACCTAACTTCTCTGTCACCTCTACCAAGTACTTAAAATCTATGATCACAGTAGGCAACTATAAAATCCTGGCAGCGAGTGAACTGAGAAAAGCAGATGTTCGGCTCCCTGCCCATGAATCTGTGGCTGCAGCCCAGCTGCATGCCACCCGAGCTGGAGAGGGCCTGCTTTTGCACATGACTCTGAATTGAGACAGTGAGGCTTGGGTGGAAGTATCTGGTCTGCTTTAGGGGTGAGTTCATGGCAGTCTACTGAAAAATCTAGGAAGAGAATCCAAAGACCTATTTCTGCTTAAGAAACCTGGATCCCAACTGTGTTTTTAAACTCTTACCATCATCTTTGCTTTCTCTTGCCAACAGTTAAATATCTCCCCTTGTCCCTTCATTGGGTGTGAAGGAGGGATGAGAGTGACTAGATTGAGAATTTTAATTTTATAGTTTAAAAGAATGTTTAATTTTGTTTTCTAAGTAAGCCTTTCTGTCTCTCCATTTTAGCCTAGCCAGTAAGGGAGGAATGACTTGTTTTGACCAGCAGCTAGAGCAGTAAAATCCAAAAGATTTAGCCCCTTCTCTATCCAGTCATTCAGGGTCCAGCTCCGGCCCTCTGTTGCCCAACACAGTCCTAGCTGTCCCCGTCTTTGACCTGCCATCGCCCCTGAATCCGGACTTTGGGCCCTTAGTTTTTTCATGCTTTCCTCTGTCTTCCTGACTCGCCCATAAGCTCTTTAGAGCAGGGACACGTGTTATGCTCATCGCTGTCCTCCAACACTCCGAGCACACTGCTAGGCCCATAGAGGAGGTGCTCAGAAACTTGGATAGAGCACCGGCCCTGGAGTCACAAGGACCTGAGTTCAAATCTGGCCTCAGACACTTGACACTTACAGGCTGTGTGACCCAGGGCAAGTAACCAACCCCATTGCCTTACAAAAAACAACAAAAACAAACAAAAAGGATGTGGTAGAGGAGTGAACCACTTTCTGGTTCACAGGTTCCCCTGGGTTTCCTTCCTCTCTTTGATGGTCTCTAGGGTGGTTTTGCTGATAAATCTTCTGGATTCTGATACAGAAAATGCTCCTTTCTAGATGACTTTCCCTGGCTTATTCTTTGCATATTCTACTGAAGGAAGTTTAGGTGGCAAGTTGAGTAGTTTGTGGGAGTAAGAGATTCGGGCCACCCCCTCTCTTCCCCTTCCCCTCTTTCCTCTCTTCCCCCTCCCCTCTTTCCTCTCTTCTCCCTTCTCTTTTCTCTGCTCTCCCTCTCCTTTTCCCTTTCCCTTGCCCCCCTCTCTTCCCCTGTCCTTTCCTGTCCTCTCCCTGGCACTCCAGGGGTGCTGACTGACTGATGCACACCCTGTTCTTCCTCCACAGAAACCATGAGGCGAGTGGTACGGCAGAGCAAGTTCAGGCACGTATTTGGCCAGGCTGTGAAAAATGACCAGTGCTACGATGACATCCGGGTTTCCCGAGTCACCTGGGATAGCTCCTTTTGTGCGGTCAACCCCCGATTTGTTGCCATCATCGTAGAAGCCAGCGGAGGCGGGGCGTTCCTCGTGCTGCCCTTGCACAAGGTAGGTGCCCTTTGGGTCATCTCGCCCCTGGTCCAGGTCCAGTCTTGGGGATGACGTCATGTTTGAAGTTGTTTGAATGCTGAAAACCCTGGATGGATGCTGGTGTACTGACGGACGAGTTCCATGCACTTTGGCAGCCACATTTGCTTTCCTCCAACAGAACTAATAATTAAATGGTTTATCGAGCTTGGTTCTAGAGATGAAAAGCTCTCCTTATTGAAATAACACTCGAGCCCAAGGAATATTCTGTTTTTGTTACTTCTTTTCTGGTCTTACAAATGTTTTCCTTTGGACTTAAAGTCGGCAAAACATTTGGATGTAATAAAATTGAGTTGAACTCACTCAGGCACTACAGCACCTTTTTAGGGAGTTCCACAAAGGACAAAGGAATGGTGCTTTTCATGGGCTTCTTTTTGGAGAAGAGGAGCCAAAACTTAGGTTTTTTAAGTATTAAAAACGATTTTGGAGATTGTGGTTTTTATCCTTGTCTATTGCTATGAGGCAGCGAGGATCCACATTAAAACTGAGAACCCCTGGTGCTTGTTCTAATCCAAATTTGCTTCCGTACTTTGTAGGCCTCCACCATCCTTCTCTTCTATAGAGTCAGGGTGACCTCAAGAAAGAGGTTTTGTGTATTCAATGGCCAGTTGCTAACGTTTCAGAGCAATATATATTTTGGCTTTCAGGGTTAGAAACAATGAGAGAATGTTGAAGGATGGAAGAATTAGTGAAGAAAAAGAAAGCCTAGAAGTAATATTTTCCTGATTTTAAGGGTTTTCAGAAGAAAAGATGAATTTTGCCATCTAGTCATCACATGTTATTTGTGGTGCTGGGCTTGAGGAGGAGAGTTGTCTGCTTGTATTCTGAAGTTTTATAACCTGCACAAAGTGGGAAAGTGGATTTTTTCTTTTTGATGAGGCAGTCAGGGGTTAAGTGATTTGCCCACGGTCACACAGCTAGTAAGTGTCAAGTGTCTGAGGCTGGATTTGAACTCAGGTCCTCCTGACTCCAGGGCCAGTGCTCTATCCATTGCACCACCTAGCTGCCCCTGGAAAGTGGATTTCAGTGAAGGGCTGGCTGTGCCGTGGAAGAATGAAGATTTAGCCTTATTCTGTTTGGCCCCAGAGGGCAGACCTGGGAGAAGAGAGATCCAAAGGTGGAAGGCCCTAACTCAGGAAGGTGGTAGGCTCCCCAACCCTGGTGATCTTGGATCAGAGTCTGGGGGGACCGTTTGTTGGGTGTTTCCAGAGGGAATCCTTTTTCAGGTCTGGATTGGACTGCGTGGCCTGTGGGGACCCTTCCGAAGTGGAGAATTACAGATTGACTGTAAAATGGATTTCTGTGAATTGAATCCCACTTGCTTATTGGAGATGAGTCCTTCTGGGAGAACTTGAGGCCCTGTGGTATCTGGCTGGTGTGCCAGTTCTGCTCGGTCCCCGGTTCTCTTCTAGCAGACATCTCGGATGTCTTCCGTGGCAGGTGTATCTGTGACGTGCTGGTCCTGTCTTGTGTTGCTGCTTTTGCTGTTCAGGGCCGTCCGATTCCAGCTGCTGTGAGGTGGAGGGGATCAAGATTTGAGGCACGATCTGCTGTTGTGTGTCTCTGCTGAGTGAATTGTTGACTAAAAGAGGGTCTGGAGTTGAAGGTTGCACTTGCATGTAAGATTTTAAGAGTGAAGGGTTGAGCGGGTGCTGCTGTTAGCAGCATCTGCCTCCTAATTACTGCATTTGGGTTATCTTTCAGGAAGAGCAAGTGACATTTAGAAGCCTGGCTTTTTAATGGTAAATTATTATAGAGTTGGATAGTTAGGTAGTGGAGTGGTTAGAGCGCCAGCCCTGCAGTTAGGAAGACTCATCTTCTCGAGTTCAAATCTGGTTTCAGACAAGTCAGGTTACTTTGCCTCAGTTTCCTCATCTGTAAAATGAGCTGGAGAAGGAAATGGCAAACCACTCCAGTATCTCTGCCAAGAAAACCCCAAATGAAGTCAGAAAAATTCAGACAGGACTGAAACAACTGAACAACAAAAATTACAGAGGGTAAGTCATGAAAGATGAGAATAATTACCACTTAACAGGGAGTTTCAGCTTTATCACCATGTAAGTGGATTTTTTTCAGAGCTGTGACTCAAGTGAGTTACACAGCTCAGAATAGCATTTGAAGGCTTGCTCTTCCTTCCCAAGTTCAGCCTATTGGCCGTTCTTTCTTAGAGAAGTTCATCCCTAACATTCAAAACAAGATGCATGAGTTTGACTTGGTAATGGCTTGCTGCATGAAATCAAGCCCAGAAAGGTCTCTTTGCAGATAACGTTCTTTTGTGTGTGTTTCATGTGGATAATTTCTCAAGAAGCCGATATTTTGGTCTTGCACTCAGTAGGCTTAGGTTAATGTCCAATAGCACAGCAGATAAAATCTTATAGTTTGTTAAGAAGCTAGAGTAGAGATATGGTGCTGTAGGACTGGAGCTCCACAGAGACCGGATGTGGCAACATCAGCGTGGAGATGCTAATTGAAGTCCGAGGAGCAGAGTAAGTGATACAGAGATAAAAGAGAATGAACCTAGGACAAAGCCTTGGGGAGCATTCAGTTGGAGCGAGTGAAGGCGGAACCAAGATGGTAGAGTGTTAGAAAGCAGTGCAAAAATGAGTTCCCCTCTACAAATGCTTGCAAACAGATATAGAAAATTTACAAGACTGAATCTTGATGGGAAAATCCAGGAAAATGTCACATTGAGGCAGTTGTCCAGCCCAGCTGGCTATAGGGAGATAGACAAGGTCTGGACACTGGGGTCAGAGATGAGCCAAGAGGATGCCCCCCATGGAGCACTTTAGCACCCTGGGAGAGGACAAGAGGAAGACCACAATCCATACCAGGCACCCCCAGACTCATACTGGGCCACTGCAATTAATGATGGTATGAGCTGGCAGCTTTGTCAGCCATTACCCAGTTTTACTTGCTACCTGAGGGACCAGCATCCTGGAGAAAGGAGAAGTTCAGAAGCCAGCAGCAACAGCAGCAGTGTTGTGGCAGAGCAGGGTCCAACTTCATGAATCTAACCCAGCCTGTAGAGGAATAATCAGGACAGAAATCTCAGACCAAAGCGGGGGCTACACTTCTGTCACTCTGAAACAGTAAAGCTTTCCAGTTGACTGATAGGGGCTAAGTCCATCAGTCTTCTTCCAGAAGAAGAGAATGACTCTGAAACATCTGCAAGCAAAGTCTTAGAGAAAAGTTACAGCTTGGGCACACAAACTCAACTAGAATCATTCCCTCCCCACTTTTTAACATTCGTTTCCACAAGATTTTGAGTTCCAAATTTTCTCCCTGTCTTGCCCCTCCCCCGCAAGACAGCATGTATTCTGAATACCCCTTCCCCTATTCTACCCCCCCTTCTATCCCTCCCCCCTTCTCTTATCCCCTTCCCCTTCTATTTTCCTGTAGGGCAAGATAGATTTCTATACCCCATTGCCTGTGTATCTTATTTCTCAATTGCATGTAAAAACAATTTTTAACATTTGTTTTGGGGCAGCTAGGTGGCACAGTGGATAGAGCTCTGACCTTGGAGTCAAGAGGACCTGAGTTCAAATCTGGCCTCAGACATTTGACACTTACTAGCTGTGTGACCTTGGGCAAGTCACTTAACTCCAATTGCCTAAGCAAAAAACAAAACAAAACATTTGTTTTTAAAGCTTTGGGTTCCAAATTCTCTCCCTCCCTCCCTTCCCCCGCACCCTCATTGAGATGGCAAGCAACTCCATACAAGTTATACATGTGTAGTCATGCAGAAGACTTCCATTGAACTAGAATTCTTGGAAGAAATAAAGCAAGAATTTTGTAAAAGAGTTCAAAAAATTAAAAAAAAATTTTTTTTAAATAAATGGAATAAGCACTTGAAGAAAAAGTTGGAAAAAAAGTGAGAGCTCTGGAAGAAAGAATTGGAAAGAGAATGAACAGCTTGTCAGAAGAGGCACAAAATCTTGCCCAGGCAACAGAATTCCTTAAAATTAGGACCAAATAGAAAGGCAATGACTCTGTAAGGTAAAAGAAACAATAAAACCAAGTCAAGTGCTGAAAATATAGAAGAACATATAAAATATTTCATAGGAAAAAACACCCGACTTGGAAAAAAGATCAAGAAGAAAAAAAGTGTAAGAAACATTGGACTGTCCGAATGCTATGATGAAAAAAAGAGCCTAGACACTGTTTTGAGAAATCTTATAAAATAAAAGCAAAATGAAACAAAAAACCTGCTCAGATGTTTTAGAACTGGAGGGCAAAGTGGACATAGAAAGAATCCAGTCATTTCCTAAATGACATTTCAAAATTAAAACTCCTAGGAACTTCATAGCCAAAATTCAAAGTTTCCAGGTCAAAGGAAAAAATATTGCTAGCAGCTAGAAAGAAACTTTTCAAGACCCTGAAGAGCCACACGCAGGGATCACACGTGATTTAGCAGCCACCACATCATAGGAGAGGAGAGCTTGGAATCGGATATTCTAGAAGACAACGGATATGTGCTGTCAGTCAGTCAGTAAACATTTATTAAACATCCACTATATGCCAGGTACTGTGATAGGCCCTGGAGATTTAAAAAAAGAAAAAAAAAGAGGCAAAAGACAGTCCCTGTTCTCAGAGAGCTAAAGAAACAAATATGTGCAAACAAGCCTTCTACAGGATAAATAGCAAATAATTAAGAGAAAAGAAGACACTAGAATTAAGAGGGGTTTGGAAAGGCTTCCTCTAAAAGGTAGGGTTTTAACTGGGACTTAAAGGAAGCCAGGGAAGGCAGTAGGTAGGAGGATAGCATTCTAGGCCTGGGGGACCGATAGGGAAAATGCCTGGAGCTGAGAGTTGGAGTGTCTTGTTTGAGGAACACCAAGGGAGGCCCGTAGATTGAAGAATATAAAGTGAGCGGGGGCGGGGTAGTAAGGTGTAAGAACACTGGAAAGTAGGAGGGTCTAAGTTATGAAGGGCTTTGAACACCGCAGGATTTTGTATTTGAC